ACCTCTGCCTCCTGGGTGCTGAGATTACAGGCATGGACCACTATTCATAGCCTGGCCTTGTGTGTGTGTGAGTCAGGGTCTCTTGTAGTCCAGGCTGGTGTGATCCTCCGCCTCCACCTCCCAAGTGCTGGGATTACTGGCATGTACTACCTTAGTCAATTTATGCAGTACTGGGGATGGAATCCAGTTCTTTTCCCACACTAGGCAAACATTCTACCACCTTAATTATACCTGCCCCCCACTTTATCCCCCTTTTGTTTTCCACTTGAAGGAAAAAGCATCTTGCTATGCTGCTCAGGCTGGGATCAAAGGGTCCTACTATCTTGGTCGTCCCCCCCCAGTTGCTGGAAGTATTGGCTGGTGCCACTGTGCCTGACTCCATAAGTTCTATCTTGACAGAAAATAGACACAGCTCTCTGTTACAATGAATGGGAAGAGGAAAGACAGGGAGGCCGGAAGCAGAATACATGGTATATTAGCCGGTGGGGGTGCATTTCCATAGATAAATAGGGGCAAGAAATGAAAGGCACGCATAGCTTTATTCTTTTCAGCAGTTTTCAGGCTTGGCTTGGACTCCTGTATATGACTTCTCTGGAAACAATAGGTGACATATTTAACATTTGTTGGACGTTTAATAAAAGCTGCTTTTACAACACTTGAACCTAATAGGTAATCAAACATGGGACACTGAGCGGCACCTTCTGCCTCCACCTTGAAAGCGCTGGCTGTGTTACTATACCCAGCTCACCTGGTGCTGGAGGTCGAAGCCACGTCCTCGTGCACACTAAGCACACTACCTGCAGAGTTATTTACCTAGCCTGCTTGAAAATCTGGACATGGTAGCTCACATCTACAACGCCAGGACTCAGGAAGCTGAGGAAAAAGGTTTCCCTGAGTCTGAGGCCCATGTTGACTGACAAAGTGAGTTCCAAGCCAATCTGTGCTGAGAGAGAGACTCTACCTCAACACTAAATCAAGTGTGGAGAAATCAAAAAACAAAAATAGATGGGAGTGCAAATCTGTATTTCCAACACTTGGAGGTGGAGGCAGGAGGATCAGGAGTTTAAGGCTAGCCTTGACTCTACAAGAGCCATTTTCAAAATGAACAAGTCCCCAACAATACTAAAGGTGTATCTCAATGACAGAGACCCTGGATTCTACTCCAGCACCAAAAAAAACAAAAAAACAAAAAACAAAGTGAAGAAATAAGTCAAAGTCCCCAGTGTCCCTTTTCATGAGCACCTATTCCTCTGGCACATGTGGAAAATTACCTGTAATAAGCAAGAACCCTTTTTCTGTTCTTTCTTTTGACTCAGGGTATCATGTAGCCTAGCCTGCCTTTGAGGTCACTAAACAGTCAAGGAAAACTTTGAACTTCTAATCACCCTATCTCTTTTTGGGTGCTAGGGTTGCAGGCACATACTACCATGCTAGGTTTATGTAGCACTGGGAATGGGACTCAGAAGCTCTGCAGGCTTCTACCAACTGAGCTATGTCTCTAACCTTAAGATGAAGCTATCTGAAAGCCAAGACAATGTATCCCATCCACGAGATCCCTCCTGAACCGCCCCTAGCTGATAATATAGTCTCCCCACAAACCCAGCTGGCCCCTTTTCGGCTGTTTCCCACAGGTGACATTTCTGCCTCTCTGGGTCTCTAGTGTGCTACATGCTGTTGGCAGAGGCTTTGGAATCAGAACAACTCTTCCAGTGACAGTGTCTGGCCCCTATTTACAGACAGGAAACTGCAACTCAGAGAGGTTAGCACTTTGCTAAAGGTCAGTAACGGAGAGTCAGGATTTGAACTCAGGGTAGGCTGGACACTTTCCACGACACCTGTGGGTATGAATTTCCCTAGAATAAAGGGAGGGGCGGGCAGGAAGAGGAAACCTCCAGTCAGCTGCAATCCAAAGAACTTCATATTGCCAGTTCTGTAAACAAGGCTTTTGGGTTAGTCTCAATGTAGTGGAGGGTGTGGAGCAGTGGTTCTCAACCTGGTGTCAACTCCTTTGGGGGTTGCATATCAGATATCCTGTATGTCGCATATTTGCCTTATGATTCACAACAGTAGCAAAATTACAGTGGCGCACGCCTTTAGTCCCAGCACTCGGGAGGCAGACGCAGGCGGATCTCTGTGAGTTTGAGACCAGCCTGGTCTACAAGAGTGAGCTCCAGGACAGCCTCCAAAGCCACAGGAAACCCTGTTTCAAAAAACAAAAAACAAACAAAATAAGTAGCGAGGAAATACTTTTACTGTTGGAGGATTACCACAGCGCCAGGAGCTGTGTGCAAGGGCGGTGTAGCATTAGCAAGAGTGAGAAGCACTGGTGAAGAAGGAAAAGTAAAGGCACTGGCCTGCGGGAGTCTTCCCTAGCTGAAGTGTGACTTTTTAATTTGTATTTTCGGTTTTTCTCTGTGTGCCTCTTTTAGTACAGCCTGGCAGGCCCCTTGTGATCGGGACTCCCGTGCACTTTTCCAGTCTTATTAGCCACTCCCCAGCTCCCATCGTGCCAAACTGACTGGCACTTACTGGCAGTTGTTGCATTCACTGGCCAGCTCCCACTCATCCCCCAGCCTCCTGTACCTTCCAGCCGTCCTCCCTGGTGGGCCTTTGCTGCTCTTGTCCCTGGGTGTCAGGTCCTGCTTGCTTGCTCTGCAGCCCTCCCCCAACCCCCTCCCTTACCTGTCCCACCCCTGCTTTTCACAGTCTTTCTTGCCTGCCCTTGTCCAGCACTAGAATTTAATTTCACGTCATCTCCCTAACTCTGTTTCTCAGGGAATTCACTCTGTCTCTTGATGTGAGCATACCAGTGTTGCCTCCAAGAGCATACCAGAAATGCCAATGGCTTGATGCTAGGCACAGAGCATTTTCACCATGGGATTGTGTCTTTTGCAGCCAAACCTCAATTTTACATGGAGGAGGTAGCGTAGGTCATATCACAGTGATGAGAAAAATCTGTGGGAAAGAATATCTAATGACAACTATGGAAAGGCACTCAGAAGTCCTCCAGCTGCCTTCATTTTCTTCTTGTAAAGAGCAGGGTGATGATGCTGGTCTCAGGTCCTCAAATTCACTAGTCGTTAAGAAGCCTAGCTTCTTACTTCTATGAGACCACTGGCATAGGTGCCCTCTGAATGCTCAGCACACATCCGTCTTCCCTGACAAGCCAGGAGACTGAAGAAGACTCAGCCACTTGTCAGGGAGGCTCTGTGGGCCAACCCCACCCACCTTGGTAACTGGAAATGGGGCGGTATGGAGCAGGGACCATACAGTCTGATATCAGTTAGTCAGATTATATCTAAACAGTGGACACAGGGAAAGGGGGCTAAGGCCACATGCTAGTGACAACTTGACAGGATCTGGGAACTGTTCCCCCTCCCACCAGTCCAGAAAAGTTTATTTATAAGCAAAAGAAAATGCCAGGTTACACTGTGCCAATATGTTTAAGGTGTAGTCCCTAGAGATACAAGTAGGCTAAAACAGCAGTAGGAAGGGTTTGGGTCATCCCATGGATAAGAAGAAACTAATGGGTTACTACAGGAAGGCAGGGTAGCTCCCAGCACATGAGGGACAAACAGGCCCATGAGGTAGGAGTTGGGAGGCCTGGATTTGTGGGCTTGGGAAAGGGTTTCTGGGCTGTTTTTTTCTTTTGTACCAATAGCTTTTTTATTTTATTTTTAATTTATTTTTATTTAAATTAGAAACAAGCCTGCTTCATGTCAATCCCAGTTCCCTCTCCCTCCCCTCCTCCCCCTGCCCCCCAACTTCCCCCACCTCCCTACTCCATCCCCCCTCCCTTCCCCAGGGAGGGTGAGGCCCTCCATGGGGGATCCCCAAAGTCTGTCATATTATCCAGGGCAGGGCCTAGGTCCTCCCCATGTGTTCAGGCTGAGAGAGCATCCCTCGATGTGGAATGGGCTCCCCAAGTCCATTCGGACTCCAGGGATAAATACTGATCTAGTACCCAAGGCCCCATAGATTGCCTAGGCCTCCTCACTGACACCCACATTCAGGGGGGTTTAGATGGATTCCCAGCCATCAGTCTGGGGTTCAAGAGCTAACCCTTGTCAGATCAGCTGTTTCTGTGGGTCTCTCCAGCCTGGTCTTGGCCCCTTTGCTCATCACTCCTCCCTCTCTGCAAGTGGCTTCCAGGAGTTCAGTGCAGTGTCTAGCTGCGGATGTTCTGAGCTGTTTTGTAATAACAGTTTCTCCTTGCTGTCCTAAGACTGAGCGGAGAGGGTTGGGAAGTACAACAGTCCATGGAAATGCTATGAGAGCCTCCAGGGGCCAGTGGTTTTTTCTAAAGTGCTCTTCTCTAAAGCAGCCTGTTGTGTTGCTCGCTAGTCACCAACTGCTTTTCCCTCCCCTCCCGCTGAGCCAACCAAGCCTCCCGTTGGCTCTTTAATTCATGCTACTTCTGAATGACAGCAATTTCTCCAAACTACAACTTTCAGATTAAACTTTAACAAAATGTGGATGAGAGCCAGGTGTGGTGACTGACACACATCTGTAATTTCAGCCCTCCAGAGGCAGAGGCAGGAGTATGGATGAATGTTTGAGGCTAGCCTGCTCTATATAGCTGGGCTGAGGAAAGCCCTGTCTTTCTACCGAGTGGGTGTGTCTAATTGGAGGACACAAGTTGAGTCAATGACTGACTCGGAACGAAGTATGGAAAATATAAAATTGATGGCTTTCCCTTTTCATCACCCTTGGGCCTCGCCCCCCCCCCCCAGGACAACTCTTGTAGAATTAGACTTGCACCTGAAGCCAGACCTGGATGGCAGTGATGAGGGAACAGGGGAACTGTGTGTTTCTAATCAGAGCCAAGGTGAAAATCACTCTTTGGTGCATAGCTTCTGGCCGTTTGCTCTGAGAATGAGGCCCAGAGCCTGCCATGGATCACCAGCCTGAAGGGATCGATTGGAAGTCTTTTCCCTGCAAACATAAGTAGGTCCCCCTACCCCGTGGTTAGTAACAGAAAAAGGACACTCAAAGACAGCTTTGTTGTGTGGGAAGGAAGAAAATTCCACTTTAATGTACTTAAGAACTCATCCATGATACATCAATCAGGCTAAGAGCTGGTAAGGCCTGGCGAGTCTCAGGAGCAGGATGGCAGAGGCCAACACTACCAACCCAGGGAGATTTGCTAACAGCAGACCCAGGCAGGCAGGTATTAGGTGTTTGCTCTGCATTAGTAGTTTACAGTGTTAAATTACTTTTTAATATTATCTAGTAAACTCAGTACTTCAATCTGCCTAGAAATGGCTACTAGAAGTGTAATTTTCCCTCTCTCTTCCAAGGAAGATCACGATCTTGTAACATTGGTGTTGCCCATCAAGGCCAGCCTGGTTCTTAACTCTCCTTCTCTGTCGATTCTTCGGACAGTTAGCCAGTGGCAGGAGACCTGTGACAGCTCTGGGGGCCCAGATGTGGTCTGCCCATTACAGGCCCCAAGCTGCATCGGAGTAGCATCTACTTGGGTACGGTTAGAACAACAATGAGCTCTCTGGTTAGTCCACGTCACCTTCAACGGTCCTGCACGAAGGGGAACAGATGGCGCAGAAGGCCATTGCCTTGTACTCCCTGATTGCCTGATGCCTTCTCTTTGGCGGGCTGAGCCAACTCTTTATAGTGTGTTCCCATGGACTTGAGGCGCGATGCACTTGGGGTTCCTCTCAGTGACCACCCACTGGCACTGCTGCTGTTGTTGTTGGCATTGTCGCACTCTTCGTAGCGTGCCATCTCCCATTCTTCTGCTCCAGACAACTCCCGCAGGCTCTGAGAAGCACTGGGTCTCAGATAGTGACAAGGTCGGTGGCCACTGTGATCGCGACGCGTGGGGTCAGCCCCCAGGGCTCCCACCAGCACCTTGATGACCATATCGTGGCCCTGCAGAGCCGCCAGGTGGAGTGGTGTGAGGCCACCGCTTCCCGGGGCGCTCACATCAAGAGGCAGTCCCTGGCGCTGGGCAAAATCGTACAAGAGAATGAGTTCCTCGTGGAGTCCGTGCTTTGCCAGCCAGTGCAGCACGCTGTAGCCGGTGATCGGGTCATCCCGCAACAGCAAGCTGGGTTCAACCTCCAGCAACTTCAGCAGCACCTCAAAACGGCCCTCGGCGGCTGCCAGAATCCACGCGTGCTCCCGCGGCTCCAGGCACACTCGGCTGCTACCCTGTCCGCTCGAGCGGCGCGACCCAGACGCCGCCGGCTCCAAGCCCTCCTCCGACAGCCAGCCGGAGGGAGCCGCCCCCAGCAGCCCCTGGAGCTCCCGCGGCGCCCCCCGCCTGCGTGTCCCGCTCGACCCAGTCACCATCAGAGTGCTGTAGAAGATCGACTCCTGGGATTGGGCGGTACTGTTCGCGACGGTTTCGCCCTTGTACCTGCCAAGGCTACAGAAGTCGGTTCTGTTGGAGCGGATTTGGAGGGCACTCGGCGCGTTCAGTTTGACTGGCTCGTGCGAGGCCTTGGGCAGCGGGTTCGCGTCTCCTTGGGGTTGGGCCATGATCTTCCAGCTGCCGCCCGGCCTGGGTGGCTCCAATAGCTAGCGTTCGTTGGCCTTCCAAGGGCCCCACTGGGAGAGGAACTGGCGCTGGCGGTGGGGAAGGAAGAGTCTTGAGCAACTGGACTCTGAGGGAGGGAGTGAAGAAGGGGAGGAGAAGGATCCGTGGGAGGGAGCAAACCGCCTTTGTGGGCGGTGGGGGGCGTGGAGGGGTGGGCGGTCTAGTAGCGTCCCCTGGACCAGCCAGGCTCCTACAGGCCGGGTACCACTGCAGCGACGACCTCGGGACACGACCGGCTCCACCCAAAAAAGGCCAGGTGCGTGGGAGTCCAGCCTCCAGCACCTGGTGGACAACTGGGGGGTTGGCTGAGGCTGGTATGTGGTGCTCTGGTCACCCTGGTTCTCAGCATTCTAGCCGCTGCTGGGGTGAAGAGACCCTAAGTAGCCTCCTTGCCTGTGGGCTGAGCTGGGCTTCCAGTCAGTCTTCAGGAGCCGCATCTTGGAGCTTCAGGAGCAGTTGCTCCCTACCCTGTCTTCCTTCACTCTTATCTCGTCAAGAATCTTCCTGCACTTTGTCCCTGTGCGCCTTCTCCCTAAGCCTTGGGGAGGCAGCCTGGCCTCTCCGTGTGACTCAGGCTCCTGTACCCTGCCCTTTTGTAACCTTGGCCTTCTTTGCAGAGGCAGCACCAGAGGGGGGGATTCCTGCCGAGGAAGCTTGAGACCCAGGACCTGGTAGAGGACTATTTCCCAGAACCCAGCCTTCTCTCTTCCTTACTTCTCTGGGTTGGTCTGAAAAAGCAGCTACAGGTGAATCTGATCCAGCACCTCAGAATCACAGCTGTCCCCTTTACAGCTTCATCCTCCATAGCATGAGGAAACTGATGTTAGTAATAGCTTCTATTCTTTTGAAAAAGGTGGGTAGTTTATCTTTTTGTTCCAACATTAGACTCCTCTTAGTCTTTTCTTCTACCGACAGATGAATTTGCTGTTTGCTTGATTTTCGAGCCTCTCTGCGTCTGGTCCCAAGAGATGGCAGTTGTGATATTTTGGAAATAGGGTCGTATGTGGCCAAGGCTGGCCTGGAACTCAGTATATAGTCAACAATGATGTTGAACTTCTTACCCGCCTTTGTCTGGGAATAAAGGTTGTGAAGTGAACCCCCTGTTGAGAGAGCAGTTGTTACCTCCTCTCCCCTCCAGTGTTAAGTAACTCAGCATTTGAGAAAGAGGGAACTGGAGAAGGCTTTGGAGCCAGGAGGGGACATGGCCATGATTCAGGTTGTGTTTGGAAGATGATTTGGGGAGAGGTAGAGAGTCAGGACATTATACTATTCAAGCAGTCCAGTTCAGGGTGAGTGGAGATTGAGACCAAGCCAGTAGTCCTCTCTCTGGGTCCTACGGTGGCACCAGCCATGGATAGTGTCAGACAGTGGCTTTTCCGCCTTGTTGTTCAAATATTTGGGGCCAGTTGTAAATATCTTGAGTGTTCCTTTGTGACAGTATATGGGTTTGAACCTGTTTTTTTTTTTTTATATATTTACTCTGTACTAGACACTGCCAGATGCTTCATATGTTCGAGCCCTTACTTCTCCCCACGGTCTTAGAAACTGAGAATCATTCCTCCTTTCAATTAGTAGAGAAGTTAGACCACTTGCTCAAGGTCACCCAACAGGAAGTGGCGGAGTAAGGTTGTGTGACACGGTAGCCTTTGTTCTGGCGCAAAGAGACTGTCATTCAAGCCAGGTTTATCTGCTGCAGATCGCTCACATACAAGCACCAAATCGCAGCCAAATGGCCGAGTGACCTTGCTGAAGCCACCTCCCACTTGCCTTCCTCTCTCTCTCTTTTAAATTAATTAATCTATTTGGGGTTATTAATTATTATTGTCGTTATTTTTTGAGACAGGATTTCTCTGTGTAGCCCCAGCTGTTCTGGAACTAGCTCTGTCTGTACAAGGCTGACCTCAAACTCAGAGATCTTCCTGCCTCTCCCTGAGTACTGGGATTAAAGGTGTGTGCCACCATGGCATAGTCAAAATAGGTTTTTTTTTATATTAGGGTCTTATATACTCCAGGTTGGCCTCCATCTCCTGAGCCTCCTGCCTTCACCTCCCAAGTGGTGGAATTACAGGCATCTGTCACCATGCCTGTCTCTGATTTTTTTGAGATAGGATCTTTTTACATAGCCCAGGCTAACCTGGTACTCACTGTATAACCCTGACTCATCTTGAACTCTCAGAAATCCCCCTCCCATTTCCTTCATACTTCTGACTATCAAAGTTCTTCATGTTTTAAGATCAGCCTCAGTATCCACCTTGTCCAACCAGCTTCCTCTGCTCCAGCCCAGAATGCCCTTCCTACTTCCTAACCCCCAGTTTCTAATACCCCATTGTCACCCTGCTTAGAGGGGATTGGCTATTGTATTTCTTCTCTTTTTCTCACAGGTTAAACTGCTTGATGAGCAAACTTTGTGTGTGCAGAAGAAATAAATGGGTGCTACTTTGCTCTGGTTTGGTAGTCTGGGAAAATGTGATTTTGTGTGTGTATGACTGTGGGTATAAGTTCATGTTGGAAGAGTTCATACCAACTCCTATAACCAATCTGTGGGACTTAACAACCTGTTGATTTGCTAAATTTATTTTTTTATCTTTTGATTTGCTCAATTTATAAAAATAAAGAAAAATAGCGATTAAGTTGTTTCTTCCTTGAGTCAAATGTTCAAACCTACCTCTTGGCCTCTGTGGACCTCCTTAAAGAACAGGCCCAGGCCCAGAGTGGGCTCCAAGCTTTCTGGCTTTCATTTTCAAAATGAACCCCAATTGACAAGCAGCTATTCCGTTGCTCTGGAAACTCCCCTCCATAACCCCAAATCTGTAAACACCAAACCACATGCATGCACACACACATACTTCCAGAATATCTGAACAGCTGCAGCAATATTTTCTTTAAATCAAAATGCCAGCATGGAGAATGCTGGGTGGAAGAATGTTTGAACTATTAATTTTCCTTGCCACTAAGCAGGCAGTTCCCTTCCTATCAGCATTAATAATATCTCTAGTTCCAGTTCAAAGACTGCAAAGGCAAACCTGTCCAGCACTATACACCATGACACACATGCTCTTACCAAACTCTATTTCCAGAGCCCAAAGCCTCGTTGCTTCTCTAGTGACTTGTTTCATCTTTTCTTCAAGGGCTCTCTCTTCCCTAGATCTCCAGCTGCACCCTGATCCCCATAACCATAGAACCCATGTCTATTTTAGCAGCAAGGAAATGAGGTAGAAGGAGTGAGAAATACAGCCAGGCATTGGTGCTGCACGACTTTAATCCCAGGACTGGGGAGGCAGAGGCAGGCAGATCTCTGTGAGTTCCGAGACCAGTCTTGTCTTCAGAGTGAGTTCCAGGACAGTCTCCAAACCAATACAGAGAAACCCTGTCTCGAAAAACCAAAACAACAACAACAAAAAAACCAACAACAATAACAAGGAGTGAGAAGCAGAAGGGATACAACCAACCCACTTAAGTCTGAGGTGCTAGTTACACGAAACAGCTGGCAGTCTTCATCTTCCTTGCATGTTCAGGATGGAACCTAGGTCTCACAGGCTAGACAAGTGCTCTACCACTGAGATACATCCCTAGCTCTCACCTGGTCAAACGCTTGGAAAGAACTGATCCAGATTTAGAAGGTAGCTGTGTGCATCACCATGCCACCAATGCCACACCAAAAGCTGACTGTAGGATGGGTAATTTGTGTTGCTGCCGCTGGAATGCCCCTAATGTCTCTGTGCTTTTCCTTAGGGATCCTGTACTATGTCAATGAAGAGAAATTGTTCAGAGAGGCTCTAGCCATATTGTCTAGGCTGGCTTTGACCACAAAATTCAGCCTACTGAGTTTGGGGGTTATGGTGTATGACACAATATCGTGCCTAAAAGAAAGTCTTTTTGGTTGTTGTTTGAGAAAGGGTCTCACTCTGTATCCCAGGTTGTCCTCCAGCTTGTGATCTGTTTTTCCACACTGTGTGGGTATGAGTGTGTGGTGGTTTCAATGAAAATGTCCTCCATAGGCTCACATGTTTGAGGACTTGGCCCTCAGTTGATGAAACTGCTTAGGAAGGATTAGGAGGTGTGGCCTTGTTGGAGGAAGAATTTTACCAGGGGTGGGGATTGAGTCTTTCATGCCATCCCTATCTCCTACTTGTATATCAAGATGGATACTCAAAGGTTTTCCTGCTGGCACACCTTTGCTTCACCACACGGACTCTAACCCACTGGAACCATAAGCCCCAATTAAACCTCCCCTTTTGGGTTCTTCAAGACAGGCTTTCTCTGCGTAACAACAGCTCTGGCTGTCGTAGCACTCACTCTGTAGACCAGGCTGGCCTTGAACTCACAGAGATCCGCCTGCCTCTCTGCCTCCCAAGTGCTGGGACTAGAGGTGTACACCAACACCACCTGACTTTTATAAATTGCATTGGTCATGGTGTTTTGTCCCAGCAATAGAAAAGTAACTAACACAGAGTGTGTGGCCAAGAAGGGATGTTTGAGTGGTGTGGTGATGGTGGTGCTGTGTGTCTCGCTCGCACTCTCAGGAGTTGCTCTCTATCATTTTCCCCTCCTAGAGGCTTTTTTACACTAGGAGATGCCATTAAAAGTTTAAATTTCTGTTTTATTTCTTGTGCATATGTATGACCCCCCCTCTCTCTCTCTCTGTGTGTGTGTGTGTGTGTGTGTACATGTGTACATGTGCTAGGGTGCATGTAACAGCAAGCATCTTTGCCCAAACCAGGATCTCATTTTCAATATTTTTCTCTCTAGACTATGAACAAGTCATACTTAATACTTTCCCAGTAATTTGAGATTTTCTTTTTTGGTTTTTCGAGACAGGGTTTCTCTGTGGCTTTGGAGGCTGTCCTGGAACTCGCTTGGTAGTCCAGGCTGGTCTCGAACTTACAGAGATCCGCCTGCCTCTGCCTCCCTAGTGCTGGGATTAAAGGCATGCGACACCAACTCCCGGCTGTAATTTGAGATTATTTATCTCCATTCCTTCACTTAAAAAAAGTTCCAGTCTTATTTTGGAAGCTGGGGATGCTCAGAGTAGAAGGTAGTACAATCAAGTTACAGCATATTCGAGTCACGTGTCCACAACTGCTCAAAATGGCGTGGCAGTGGGCCCGGAGCAGAAAGAAACCTTTTGGCTTCAGTGGAAGCAGGAAACACGCCTTAACACTATGGTTCTAACTGCCTAACTGGAGTCCAACAATCCAGCTTCGGATCTGAAGTGTAAGAAAAAATATTCCACATTTCATGGATAATGTGACGAAACTGATTGCCTTCTCCAGGAAAACTCTGGAAGTATTACCATGTGCCAACACATGGGGGCGCTCTAGAGAACAAATGATTGAGAAAACCTGAAAGGCCTGATTCCAGCCTGGGAAGAGACTTTGTAGGTGATAGGAATTCAGGCTTGCTTGGAAGGGGGGGTGCTCACCCTTGGTTTTTAGGTAGTTTCAAGGAAGGAGGTACTTGTGCCAGGACTTCTGATATGACATGGATGTCACTCTGGAGAGGGGGAACCATCAGGAGAGAGAGGGGGGAGGGTAGAGAGTGGCACAGGGTTTTATTCAAGAGCTAGGAGTTAAATCAGTGGCAGACCACTTGCCTAGCACGTGCAAGGCCTTAAGTTTCATCTCCATCATTGAAAAACATTAATTTCTATGATATATAAGTCTTGGAATAAAACTGTTTCAGAATTTTTTTGGAGCATGCTTTCCTCTTCTTTCTTTTCTCTCTCTCTC